CACTGACTCTGAGGACACACACTGACTCTGAGGACACACACTGACACAAAGGCCTGTACGACTTGAACCTGGAACAAAATCAAATCAACAACACAGATTTATTTTGTATCAGATGTGAAACTCGTGATTATTCAAAATAAAAGTTCTGATCAGAACAAACATCAAGAGCAACACATTAATGACTCATAACTGTGAGTAACTACAGTTCTCTGAGTTAATGCTCAATCGATCAACAATCATCTATTTGTCAACCAGAGTATATTTTCAAGTATCAGATAAAATATTCAAGTATTTAGTTCTCATTTTTCTACTTATTACCATCCATGTGTTTATTTGTTTCTGGTTTCGATAGTTTGTATTTATTGGTTTGTGTATGTGTGTGTTACTTGTGTGTTTGTGTATTTTGTGAAAGACACAGTTTCTAGTTTTATATGAAAATATTAGGACACAGCAGCGTCACGAAATCCCTTTGATCTTTAAAGGACCAGTGTGATTTGTTCGTTAGAACAGGTTAGTGCTCCCCCTACAGGCACACGCAGTGTCTGACCACAGGTTCTGTTCTGTGAGAAACACTGACGTCAGAGTCTTCCTCGTCTCCGTTTGAGCGGCTGGTCTGCTGATTCTGTCAGCAGGGGGCGCTGCTCATCAGCAGAACACTGTCCAGGTGTAATTCTTCAGTTTGCCTGCAGGTACCGAACAGAGAAGTCCTCCAGCTGAGTCTCCAGCTCTGTGGCTCTGTTCCTGTCAGTCAACAACAAGTCAATCAGTCTTTAATGATATTGGTTATACACATGCAATAGTTCTACTCTCACTGCTTTTATGTTAAACACTCAACATGTCATATTTCTGCCACCAGGGGGCTTCTCAGTCAGAACAATAACTACAGAGGGAATTTGTTGTGGTGATGCAGCGTGCGATTATGGGAGTTGTAGTCTCCTCCAGGGCCCTGTACTACATATAGTACTGTTCCACATATCCACGATCTCTTTCAGTTATCCAGCTGAACTTAACCTAACAATCACAGTCAGGCTAAGTGGTCACATGAAGCTGATTTAAACTTATGAAGTTAACTCAGGTTTTCCTCTGGATATGAGGGGGGCGGAGTTTACTGCATATGACCAATCACAGATGTGGACAGAGCTAAGGATCAAACTGTTGAATAATAAAAATCCGAGGAGAACCAACATCCAGAATAACAAGTATCATAACTGTGTGGGACAGTTTTAGTCTTTCAGGTGAAACCCTGGTGGCTTCAAGCTCAGCTGGAGGAAATAAAACACAAATATACTGTAAAGATGGAAGTAGACTGATTTTCATATTATTATGTATATATATCATAACACTGATTCTATTTCTACTGTATAAGGACATCAGTGCGCACATGTACAATGAGGTTTGAAAACAAGTCAGATACGAAAAAGAAAATCAGTAGAAAAAAATAAAGAACAATAGAAACTAAAGTAAAGACTTTAATGTGTACAATGATAACTGTAGATTGTGTTGAGCTCCTCTGCATCAGCCACAGTGAACAGGTAACACGTGAAGAAGAGTCAGAGGTCAAACTCAGCTTCATCATAAAAATCAAACGGGGCGTCTCTGAGGGGCGGAGCTGCCGCTAACTTAAAACATGACGGACACATGACAGCTTCCAAAAGTGAACCCATATCATCTGACACCCCCTGGTGGCTGGCTGCAGGATTGGTCATTGATCCTGCCTCCTCCTCCAGAATGAATGAATGAAAAACTGTTTCCTTGATTGAATCCAGAGATTTCTGCAGAATAGAAAGATGGTGTCTCTGGGTTCAATCTTGAATTAAGATCTGATCTGAGCTCAGGTGTGAGCGTGACCTCTGACCTGAAGGCCTTCGACCTCCTCTGGATGTTCTCCAGTCTCTGGATCCTGAGGCTCAGCTGTCGGACGTTTCCCTCCAGCTCGGCTTCGCTCAGGTCGACTCTCTGACTCAGGCGGCTGAACGTCGCCATCAGTTCCCTCCGACACAAACACAAATCAAAGCTCAGATTATGGTTGTAACCGAGCCACTGTGAGTGACAGGTGGGGGGTGGGCTTACTTGCACACCTGCTGACTGCAGGCGGAGCTTGTGACGGGGATGACGGTTCTGAGGCGGCGGGCGGCGTGCTCCACAAACTGCTGCTTCAGAACACGCTCCCTGCTGATGTCAGTCCAGGTCAGTTTCTCATACAGGTACAGGAGACCATACAGAGAGAGAGAGAGAGCGACGAGACGCCAGCCCACAGACCGCCACACCTGAGACACACCAGAGACACACACCAGAGACACACCTGAGACACACACCAGAGACACACCAGAGACACACACCAGAGACACACCTGAGACACACACC